AATGAAGAACCTGGTGGGCGTGACAGTATCCAAGTGACGTCCCGAGTGCTCTTCAGAGTCAACATTTTGCGCGTCAGATTCGCATTATCGCAAGCAAAATTTATAATGAAAATGGATTTCAGGATATCCCACCAGGATAAATCTGTGACGGCTCTATGCCGCCTGAATGTGGGCCTATTTTACCAGGATTGCATAGATTGCACTCTTTACAAAGACTCTTGCTGGAACTTAAAAAAAAATTGGTGGTGGCGACGTTGGAAGGCTTTTTTGGATATTTATGGCACAAGGAGTCAGCTACTCGTGCAATTGCAACAACTGCAACCTCGTACAAATACCTTCCTTCGGCACCGATGCACGACTCTTCCACTTCTAAACTTAAAAAGTGTATTTCGGGGTTATCGTGATCTGTGGCTTTTATTGAGTTGTTACTAGTATAGGATATGTAAACAGGAGAAAGGCGTGAAAGGAGGTGTTGTTAGTTTTCACGCTCTTTCCGACAGCGTTGAAGGGAATGATGTTGCGACAAACTCTGACGCAGCAGCTTACTGTAGCCATCTGTGCGCGTTGGGGCACCCACATGTAGACAGCTCCTCCAAGTACCCTCCCCCCCCACATGTAACTTCTGCCGTCACATTCATGCCCGATCAGTGATTTGAACCACTTTTTGTAGCCCCATAATACCTGAATACACGCCGATTTCCGCGGTTTCTTCGCCACCTTTTCACTATTCTTGACTATTACTTTGATTAATCGTTTGAAAACAGATACCTAAATTATCGCTAACTGTGCCTTTCCATGTTGCGTGAAGGCCATTCTTCCCATGAAGACGTAACCGATTTATTTCGCTCTATTCAGGTGCTACCCTTTTCATATGATACAACTCTTCAGAGCGCCAACAAAAACTACAACAGTCTAATGAACGGCAATGAATGTAGGCAGCCATACCGCGTCGTTCATGAACTGTTATTTGGTCTTATTAAGAATATCTACACCATGGTCGACAGCTATGTATAACTGGAAAGACTCAGATGCCGTTTTGTACAACGGCATATTTCAAACGGCTTCTTGTCTGATGTCATCAACAGTGAACTTTTCTATTGGCTACACAAGAATCGGAAAAATGTGAGTAGATCCCACTGTCATTGATTAATATTTCTAAGTCCTCAGAAATAAAATGATGCCAAACAATTCTGTTGGATTGTCGCTCTACAGCATTTTTGTGGGAACTCATTCCTTCAAAAACACCTAGAATAGCTCACAACGTTTAGCTGTAGTAGTCATTGTCGTAGCTGTGAACAACTTGAGTTGATTTTAAGGAACTGTGAATAAGATCATCAAGGAAGCAATTGAAAAGAATCAACGTCTGACTCCGCCATCACATTTTAGACCCTGCGGTCCTTTAAAAAGGATGATGCTTGATTCCCTCCTACATACGCAAGTGCAAAAGGGAATCTCGTGTTCTGAGCTCCGTCAATAAACGAAGATCATTGGTGTAACTGCTCGAGCCAACAAATCGGTGATCAGGCGACCAGACACGTCATGCGGTAATATGATGATTGTTGGATCAGGGCAATGAAGGATACACCATGAAGGCAACCGGCGTGATGATCATATTTCTTCACAAAAGCTTTGAACGGAAGGAATGATGCCTCGCCTCCCTCGAGCGGGAACGATCCACTAACTGAATACTCTGGCTCGCAATAAGGTTGATTGGAGAGCTGCATGCGCCCGCTCAAGAAAATCGATGATTAACAAGAAGACAGGTTATAAAGTTGATGACTAAGAAATAGAGTTTCGCATGGGTGATCGAGAAGTGGAGCATGGATGGCAACAAAACCTAAAAAAACAACAAAAACGAAAAAACGTTACTCATAAAAAAGAATCCTGCTATGGTTACATTTGAAAAAAAACCTAATAATTGACAGCAAATAATTGATCTTCAACATCTTAAAAGCTTAAATCTTTTCTAATGTGCTTACTTTCAGTGAGAAACGGATTCAGATCATATTTGGTCTCGTTGTTTTCTTGCTGTTCCATATCTTCAATTATCCTTGGCCGTTCTATCCAGGACCGCTAGATTACATACCCCCAGGTGGAGCTTATTTGTATAATTTAATCTATTTAACAAACATAATTGACTCATCGAAGTTTTGCGAGAGTATAGGGTGCCATTAGGTCTTGTGTCCATCGATGTGAAGGAGGCCTTTGATACTTTCGAGATAGAAGCGGTAATTGAAGCCCCTGGCGGTCAGAGTGTTGTTACCAATTCCAAGGAAACATGAGCTTCACGACAACTTCAGGATTCCGCCATATTATAAGGAAGTCATTGTCTATATGAAGAGAGGGGTTTGCCAATGAGATACCATTTTGCCTAAACCTCTCAGTGTCGGTCTCAAAAACACCGTGAGTCATTTGGTATGGAATGACTCGGATATATGTAATCTTGTCCCTTTATTAACCCAAACCGTGCAGTAATGCAGAAGAATTACTATTCATTAACAGAGAAATAATAAAATATATCCAATTCCTTTTTTGTAACAGAACATATATAGGCATTTCCTTTTTTTCGTGTCACCTGTGGCACTTGTCGGTCCATTTTTAAACATATGCACAAAAAATTATTGAAAATGAATATGTAGCTCAAATGTCCGGGCATATCCACAAAAATGCATACTTGCGTAGCTTCTTTACTGCACGTAAGAACACCACAACTCCCATTCAGGGCAAAACTCGTCGGAAGTTGGAGGATGTCTTCAATCCTATGGATGGTGCTCGTCTACTGTCCGGGTACCATTTCCAATATACTTCATTTGTTTCGTTTTCTTCTTCGGAGCAGCATTCCCTTTCATTGCTTCCCCTTCCGGAGCGCTGTATTCCGAGGTCTTGGGACCCCGACGGCAGGTGCGCTATTTTAAGTGAACATTTTTATTTCAAATGACATATAATTCTCATCCAGTAGTCATGCTGTCCACGGAATCAGTGTGATGGTCGATTGATAAACCTTTGTGAGATGTTTGAAGAGTTAGGGAGTGGAGAAGATTTCATGCGTGCTGCTGAAAAATGGATGTGACAAGATGTCTTCCCTCCGGGGATTAAATTAGTTTCATACCACTACAACCGTAAACAAAATCAAGATGATCACAGGAAGGTGTTTCTATGCAATGCTCGTTCACTCTTGGTCGTCTCTCCCTAGCGCGTCATCGCGCTTCAACCCCTGTGCGCCAAATAGTATTTTTTCAAGAAGTCATGAATTTATTCTGGCTCCGATCACTTTAATGCACACCCCGCTCACTGTAAGTTGTTGGCTCTTTCCTTGAAAGGTCATACACACTTTCTGGGGATCTACTAGAACGTTTTCAAGCGAACTGGTGAGTTTTTGTAAGAATCACGTTTCTTCTGAGAGGAGGCGTCATAGGATCAGTATCGCTGATTTGATAATATCAAGCACACCTTGGACCTCGATAACCTAAGTTTCCCTTCTGTCTGGGCTCCTTTGGATTTCATTTTAAAAAATTTGCTCCTGGCGTCGTCCTTTGCAATGCATTTCCCATCCATCGTAAGTGAAATTTTGCCAACTCACATGTTCGATTCCATCTTTAATTCATCTTTCCTTCCGCTTCACCTTTTCCTGACACGTTCTTTCTAGGTGTTACTTGAGGTAACACCGTTGACGACAGACGACAGCCTCGCTTTAAGTTGCAAAAAACTTCTGCAACTTTTCGCGACAATTCCCAGATTCTATATCTCTTTATTTGAACAACCTTCAGCCACTATTGCTATCTGAAATGCGTCCCTATTATTCGGACAATTTCTCTATCTCTTTCTGTTTAGTTCCGCAGCTGCGACGGAAAAGATTATTAGTTTTTGTTTCCAAACTGACAACGGTCACCAAATTTTTGTTA